TTTCAGACCATTCTATAGTGAAACCTAGGTAATTCACACCTTCAAAAAGAAGGATTCAACTATGATATTAAAAAGATATAATATCTGAAAAGCATGGTACCAATCTACTGGAATCGTAAACGTGATAGTCTAGTCAATGGAATGTTATTTATTAAAATTCATGAGTGGGTTTTGATTGGTCAAAACACTTTTCATACCATGTATTTCCCGTATCATAGATTTTTCCATAGAAAATTAGAAAAAAAAAGCCATTACCCAATGTTGATCAGCTATCTAGGGTCTTGGAAGGAATAGATTACATACTTCATACATTCCCAAGCAACCTTTGCACTTTCTCACACAAAGAATCCATTCTCAGATTTAAACCAGCATTCTCATGCTTGACAACCCGAGATTTTACCACTAGACCAAGTAATGTTCACTAATTCATAGCACTCTACTATGCTTCAATCCATTGTTGTTAGACTTGGATTGGATACATCCATATTTATCACCAGACACCAGGTCATGTGGTTTTGACCATCCGGTTCATCCCGTAGTTTGCTACGTTCTTATTATACTAACAAACAAATATTACTGAAGTCTCAATTTGGTAGGAGTATGAATACAAATATGTACAGTGCAAATACATACAAAATAGTACAAAACACAAGGTACAAACTGAGCCGAAGGAACTRCAAATGGATTGAATCAAATAGATACAAATTATATTTGGATTTGAATCAAATCTTATCCATCGGATTTATAATTTATATAGAATTGGGCATTGTAATTGGATATTAAATAGTATTAATAAATTAAATTAAAATTGAACAAAACATTAAATATCTTTAGTAAAATGAACTAAAAATGATTTTGATGTTGCAAATCATGAGCATAATGCATTAAAAATAGCATTGCCAAAATGTGAACTAATGACTCAATAGTGAAAACCAATGCGTTTAGAAAACTAATTTGGAGAGGGCGGTCGGACTGATTAAACCATTACCAGGCCCTGGTCGATTTGGTCATGAAAGTTTCATGGAGAGAAACTATCTAAACCGCAGAGAGGGGAAATTCAAAATTTTTACACGGTAAAACTACAGAATGCAGTTTCTGACCTAGTGAGATGATTTCTCTTGACCTGATCACTTTGGGGATTTTACAACATTAAACCTAAGGTTGTCAATGGGTCAGCTCCGACCCAATAGACCCGATGGACCTGAACTTTGGACATGTTCTAGTTCCAGGAACTGAAACCAACGGGTAGGTTTTGGGTCATGATATAGTGTCTTGATTATTATTGTTTTGAAACCCGTTCCACTCACTCTCCAACCAATTCAGACCCAACCTGAGTTATATACATAATATATAGAATATATATAATATATATATAATATTTAATATATATTAAATATATATATGTATGTATATTTATTTATTTATTATAATCAGGTCATTGGGTCAGACCCACTTGTCCCAAAAACTGATCAGTTTGGTTCTGAGTCTAAAAATTATAAACCATATATATCAAGTCCGATTCAGTTCCAGATCCTCAATATTTTATGTCAGGTCAGCTCTAATTCTAACTAGGAGTTCAAATCAGCCCCCCACAACATCTCACAGCACATYCCCGCCGTGTATTAAAAATATCTCTCAATAATAATATCCAGATTGATAATATCATTATCGGGAGATGTTCTCAATACACAGCAGGGATATACTGTGGGACATTGTGGGGGACAGTTTTATAGGAGGCAGATTCGGTCTCTCTAACTAGTCTCGGCCCACCCAAAATTATTAAGAATGAAAGTTAACTGAAGGAGAAATCCAAGCACAAGCACAGTTGATTGCTACGATATTCACACCCAAACTTTTAATGTCTTCCCGCAGCTTGGTAAGTTGGCTTAAGTGGCGCACCAAGAATCTTGCAGCTCCAATGGCTTCTTCGATGTAAAGGATGAATTCTTGGAAGATTGGTGCGCCTCCACATTGTCACTACAGATTAATTAGGATAAGTTCTAGTCTAACTAAGACTTTGACTCCAATAATCAAACCAGTCCCATGAGTCCTTCAACTCAAAAAAAAAAAAAAAAATTCTTCAACTCAAAAAAATAAGCTTGTATGGTGAGGGACCCAGAGGAGTTCTCTTAAAACCAAAATAGGAAACAGTAATAGATAGGAACAATACTAACACAAATGGGACCCACCCATATGGTCGAATTATCACTTATTTTATAAGTGGGAATTCTCCTAGACCTAGTGGTCCTAATTGAATAGTGCATCATGTTAATGGGCCTAAAAAACACTTAGCAACACAATCTTCTCACATTAGAGCCCAATACTAAGAATGAGAAGGGCTTCTTCTCCACAAAGTTATTTTTAGGTCTCCTACCATGTTGGATCCTAGGAAATCAAAAACTTCAAATTAATTTGAAATCTATCCATCAGATAAAACATTCACAAGGGGATTCTCTCTTATTAATAAAGTAGCAAATCCCATCACAATCCATCAATAACTACTTCAACATACTCAAGTATTGATCATAGAATAATCTCACTAATTGTCATCTAAAAAACAGATGCATTAGATATTCAGCATTGTATCACTATCAAATCTAAAGACTTTATACAACAATCCATAGATTCCCCTAACAGTAAGAATTTGCTAGAAGTGGTCTAGATTAACATTTCAATTACAAATGCCCACACTAATGCTTTGAGTCTAACCCTAACAAGTAAGAAAAACTACTCCTTCTATAAGGTAGCATGAGTGTGCCAACCTTGAAAAGATAAACTACCTAGATTGATCCACCAGTTGGGAACTTTAAAATCACATGCTGATTATGAATGTTTGAGATGAAAGATCATAATCCTATAATGTAGATCATGGTCATTAAATAGAAGCACACCCATAAACACATACAAAATTTAAAGAAAACTAATATTATCCATTAATAAGCTTGATATACAAAGTTGTTGGACTATGAGGACATGCACTGTCCAATAAGTCATACCCCTAAAATAGTTATCACCAAAAAATTGACTAAATTGTCCACCTGGCTGGTCCAACCTAAGAACCAAAAACCAGTCCCAATTTAGTACAACCTATCAGTTTATTATCATACTTATTTTACCTTATATGCAAACTATCTTTTTTAGGTAACTACAAATTATAGGAGGCCGGAGGCCATAACTTTGCACTCAATTGTCCGCTTAAGATGCTTTTTTCTTATTTTGAGTAACTTTTCAAGATCCTATTCTACTATTTCTGTCAAAAACAAAGAGCCCTTTTTGACTAAAATCTTTATTTTTAATATAAAAAATCAATGCTTTCAACCCGTCATTGACCCGATCAATCGAACCGTCACCCGATCAAGATTCTAAGTCCGATTTAGTCAAGACCCATAAGATGGTCAAAATTTGTTGACTTGGTCAAGAACCATTTGACCCGGCCGGTTTGATCGTTGAACCATTCGACCTGGTGACCGGGTCGTAGGTTGCACACTCAATGCATGCAAACTTTTGGAGGCCATAACTTTACACTCCGATGTTTGATCAAGATGATTTTTTTTTTATTTTGGGTAACTTTTCGAGATCTATGCATCCTAAGGAGCTATAGGCGTCTTGCCCTGCTATTTTTATGTAAAACCCCTTTTTTGGCCTCAAATTGCAATTTTTAATAGTTTTTATAAATAAAAAATAAAAACTGAATTAAAAAACATAAATTAAATATAAATTAGTACATATAACAAATTTAAAACATACTTATACATTATTTATTGTTAAAATATATATTTGCACACACACACACGCACACACATATATGTATATAATTGTATATACTTAATACATATATGCGTTGACATGGCACAATCTGAACCATTCGACCCAATTGGTCGAACTGGTGACCCACAACCCAAAGGCAAAAATGGTTCGGCCACTGGATCGGTTTTTAAAGCATTGTAAAAAATTGAAATATATATATAGCGGTTGATGGTGTGTATGGGATATTTTAAAAAAAAATGCCTTTACTTTTAATATAAAAAATTGAAACAAAATGCCTTTCCAAGATCTTACCTCATTATTTTTAATATAAAATATTTAATTTTTAACATGGAATATTTGGAGTAATATAGAAAATATGATAATGGTTGATCAGTGACAGGGGATTCTCTAGTGATTTTGCAAAGCCATGGTGAATTTAAAAGAAATGCAAAAGAAGTCATGATGAATTTTAGATAATATCCCTATACAATAATATATTATGTCTTCACAGCTTAACCTCAATTAACCTTTGAATATCTCCCTTTTCTAATCTGTCTATCTAAACATTGGTAAAAACATAACATTCAATTCAAACCAACTTTATTAATAGATAGAATATAAGTTTTAAATACATATAGACACATCTATATTATATAAAGTAAATATTTACCTTGATTTTGATACAAGTCATCAAAATTAAATTTAATTATATAATATTAACTTATATCTTTACTTTTTACTTACACATGTACATAACAGCATATAACCTTACATTAATAGATTTAAATCTAAGTGAATCGAAATATGTTGGACTAAAAAGAGATGGGTCCTAACTCTATCATATTATAAATGGACTCAGATCACCATTAACCGGTTTGGATTCAAATCAGATAAATGGATACAATTAGAAGCCCTAATTAGTGAAGAATGCCTCATTCATGGCCAACCGTTGTAAGCGGGTCATGACATCAACTGTGTGGCTCTCTGATATTCTGTTCGGAAGATGTTATAATGGGTCACAATATCTTGGTTGACCGGGCAGATCGACCTTGCAGCAGATGACACATGTCATGTCAAGAGAAGAAGATAGCCACGTAGCTCCAAGCTCGACCCAGAAAAAGCTATATAAAATTATAAATCACTCCCCATTTGCTCAAAGCCTAAAACCACATCAGAAGCATTCCAAAGCAATCGCCTGTACAAAGAATTGAAGAAGGCTCCAAACTCTTTATTGTAGTGATTTGATATAAGAAATGGCGGACTCAACTCAAATGTTCAGGGCTGGTGAAACTCATGGCCACGCTCAGGCAAGTGCTATATATTTATATTTATATATAATTAATTGGTGCATGCCAAACACAAACTCGATCCCCAGTTGGCTCTCATACAATAATTCTTTGCTAATAAGCCTTTTGCATTTTGGCAGGCCAAGAGCGAGGAGTGTATTCAATCTGCTAAGGACACCGCAAGCACTGCTTGTGACAAGACAGAAAATGCTGCTCAATCCACCAGGGACTCTGCCCAGCAACAAGACTCCGGGTTTCTTCAACAGGTGTTTTCATATCTGTGACACCCACAAATTAATAAGGATCATCTATGAGATAAAGGGTCTAGATTTCAAAAAACAATAATGGGTCATTGCTCATTGTCAATCTGAGCCAATTGTCAATCTGAACCATTCAATATAATTTGATGGTTTTCAATATTTATATTTTCTATTTAATTTTATAGTTTGTTTTTGTCGTTGTAGACTGGGGAGAAAATAGCAGACATGACCCAGGGTGCAGTGGACAGCGTGAAGAACACACTTGGAATTGGTGACAACAGCAACGACAACAATAACAATAACAGCAGTTGATTGATCCATGGGGATAATGAAATTCAAGAAAGACCTCTCTTTCCGTTCTCTTTTTATGAATCCTTTTCTTCTTTTCTTTTTTTTTTTTTGTTATTATAATAAGATGGAGAGAATATCATGCCTAAGTACATCTCTCCGCATTGTAATTTCTTAGTTTTGTTAGGGGGTGACACAAGAGTAGAGACAGTGAAAGGGAAGCAAAGTGCTATGTTTGATCTCACCTTTAGTTCCTTTGTTAGACGAACTCATTCATGAGTTAACCAATAAAGCAGTATATTCCTTTGTTAGTATCTATTAGATAATCCTATTGTCTGAATTCAAATTTGAATTCAGTCCCATTAACGTTGCATGATCTGAATTTGATCCGCTTATAATTGTATCAAATATGGATCTTCAGTTCCAATTAAAGTTGGTTTGAATGTTGTGTTTTTAATAAATTTCGGTAGGTTCATGTTTCATATAATTAATTTTCAATCCTCTCTGCAATCCGTGAAATTCGATTTCAATATGATATAAATTCAATGAATAAGATCCAATTCAAATTCGAATATATAAATGAATCAAATTTGGATTTACTTATATCCAATTCAATTCTATCCATTTTTTAGGCATACTTGTAAACTGTAGTAATCGTTATATTCATGCATTCTAACAGATGATGTGGTTGAGAAACAGATGATGTGGTTGAGAAACCACTCAAAAATTTAAAGGAATTTAGCTTTAAGAGTTGAAGCCTGACCAGCTGGTTCAATTTGGATTTCTTAACAGTGGCATACACCAGCTTGATATGCACCAAAAAGAGTTTAAAAAACTGAATCAATACAGATAGAAAAAAAATTTCTAATTAAAAAATAGAGTTTTAGCCACTTAATACATGACCTAATTTGCATCAGGGACAATCTCTACAAAGGGAAGACTCATGCTTTATAAATCTATTCTACTTTAAAAAGCACGAATAGTCTCAAGATTATTTCTAGAATTTTATGAGGATAAAATTTACTCCTTCATATTTAAATTTATTGATAAAAAAATGATGGCAAATAGGGTAATCGGTTATTGATATTAAATGATTTATAAAGAGATAAGTTTAAGATATTCAATGCATTCAATTTCCTCTCATTAAATCCAATATTTAAGATATTAACTTGCATTCACCATGAAATCATATATTTAAGTCATTTTTCATCTTCTCATCATTAAATTTTATTAATTAAATCCATATATAATAAATTAATAGTTTTAATAACATAAAAATTATTTTAAAATCTACCTGGAAAAAAATTGTGTTTTCATCTAGGTGATGGTAAGAAATTAAACCATTTTGGGCCAAATGGGTCATCCCATATTGCCACAATTAAATAATAAAATTCAAAAATAGATAAAATGCAAAAAGTATAAGAATTAAAAAATGAGAATATTTATAGCATCATATATTCGACATATTAAACAATAATAAGTATGATAATTAAGAAATATTTTTATTAATGGTGGAAATGAATGTAAAATTTAAAACCAATTGAAAATAAAACTATTTTCATATTCTTTCGCATTAAATCTCACATTTAAGGTATATTCTTTCATTAAATCCTATATTTAAGATATATTTTCTCCTCATTAAATTATATTGATTAAACCCAAAACATTAATTTTAATAGAATAAAAACTAAATATTTTGAAAAGCAATTTGAAAACAAAACCATTTTCTTCCCTCTCGGTGGTGGGTTAGCAATTCAACCATTTGGGGTTAAATGGGTCAATAAATAATGCCATAATTAAATAATAAGAAATTAAAATAAATAAAATATTTAATACAAAAAAATAATTGGGTATATCTCTTATATTGTATATTCATTATACTAAACAAAAATGATTATGAAATGTAAGAAATATTTTTATTAATGATGAAAATAGAATGTTAAATTTAAAATCAATCTATAAATGAAATGATGTAATAGTTAAGTAATATTTTTTCTAAAAAATAGAAAATACAAAGAATCACAAAAATAAAAAATAGAGAAAATGTTGGGCACGTAAACATCTTTAATATTACACATTCAAAATATTGAACAAAAATAAGTGTTATACATAAGAAAATAATTTTATCAATGATAGAAATGTAAAACAAAATTTAATACAACTTAGAAGCAAACTATTTTTCTTTTTGGGTGGTGTGGGTTAGTGGTTTGGTGTCAAATGCATTAATAGATGATATGACAGTTAAATATGAAATCTTTAAAAATAAAAAAAGTACAAGTAGTGAAAATAATATATAAAAATTATGTATTAATTAAGTCAAACAAAAATTAAGTGTGATAACATAACATAGACAAAATATATAGTTTAAAATTGATCCGAAAGCAAAGCTATTTTCTTATCTAGTTGGTGATTCAATGATCCAACTTTCCAAAGAAACTTTTGATGCCATAATTAAATAAATATATAAACAAGATAGAACACAAAAAATGAAAAAGCACAGAATTTTGTAAAAAACATTTGGAAACATTTCTAATGTTCTATATTCATCATATCAAATAAAAATATTTTTTACTTATGACAGAAATGGAATACAAAATTTAATAATAATAATAACAATAATAATAATAATAATAAATTACTACTACTACTACTACTATTTTAATTTAAAATTTCTATGTGCAACACACATGCACATTTACTACAAGAATTTAAGCTTATTCTTAATTATATTATTACTTTTTGCTAATTTTCAATTTCAATCTTAACTATGATATATCTAAAATTCAAGTAATTAATATGAAGAAAATTTTCTCACATGTAATGCGCGTGCTTAATTACAAGTAAAAAAATGGCTAAACAAAAACTACCATTTCTACGATTGAATGAGACAACAACAAAAAAGTTGTTCTCTAAAATAAATATTCATCAATTGTTTATGGGGTTGAAACTATGATAGATTAACAAGAACAATAAACAAAGGTAAAAGGTGAAGGGAGGGGAGATCCATCATATGGATGGCCGAACCATGCAGGGTGGTTGGGCGAAATTTCAAAAATTTCTTTCTCCCTTCCGCCAATCCAATTCCCTAATTTACAAAAATCGCATTTTTAAAGGTTCGTTCTTGAAACAAGCCGGACCAAATCTGTAACCAAGATTAAGGGAGGGATATACTTGATACGGAATCAACAGTACTAACCAACGTAGGCGTTCATGCCCAAAGAGTTCACCAAATCCGTCATCCACTGAAGATGACACAGCTTAAGGTGAGGCAGGATCAACAAAGACATTCTTCAGTAAGAACCCCAATTCTTCAGCAAGAATCACGCAGGGATGTGAGCACAACTTCAAGATTGCTTCTTCCAACAAGAAACAATATCCAAATCCAATCTTGATCACTCCAAGAACTGGAGATCGAACAAGGTAGGGCGGCAAGAGTAGAGGGAGAAAGCAGATTGCAGAAAAGAAGAATTCTTTCTCTAGAATTTGCCCCCTAATTCATACCCTTTCAAGATCAGCTTCCTAATCAAATTAGGAAAGAGTTCTTTGAACCAATTCTTTATTTGGATCTGGACTCTTAAGTGGATAAGACTTATCTTATCCTCTTGTTGATCCCTATCCAAACATAAACCCAAATTCACCCCTTTTAATTAATCCTATTAAACCCGGTTCGAATTGGGCTTTAGGCCCAATAAGTTTTCAAGCTCACTTCCTTTTAATTGTTGGCTAGCTTGGCTCTTTTTGTATGGTGTGGGACCCTAACATTGATCTCCACAAAAGCCATATGGGTTCAGCCTAGCCTCTGTTACAAGGCCTGGCCGAATTCATTGCTGAAAACAATGAACCTCTGAGCCCATCAGTTTGGCTTTTTAGCAATCCCAACGTTTACACTAAATGGTCCCTGAGTCTAGCCACCTTATGAAGGCCCAAGGACTAAGGACTTATGTGAGATTAGCCCATTAGGTATAAACCTTAAAGGGTCTTACACTTAACCTCTCAGCCCACAATGAAAAAACACTACCCGAAAAGAGAGGACCTGTCCCTCAGATACAAGGTACAGTGTTGCACACTTTGCTTATATGGATCCCGGGAATTAAAACCTTTTGCAAACATTTTGTGAAACCATAATATATATGTATATCTCTATATAGATATATTTTTCAAAACAATTCTCAACAAGTTTGAAATCAACTGCCGATAGTTTAGGTTTCCATCAGAGATAGTGCATTCCCCGATCATTCAATTTGTCCAACAAAGGGGTTGATTCTATCACTATAATCACAGACTTAGGTGAATTATCAGACTGCCCCATCATACCCAGGTTTTGACCCCGCTAATGAACTCACTGATTAGCATATCAAAGATAGCTTAATCCAACACCTAGTGCAGTACCATAATCAATTCTAGGGGTTAGGTGTAACTTTCTAATTTTGCCCATCAGTCACCAAGGTCCARGGCGTAACTGCAAAATGGTCCGGTTCAGAGTTTTAAACAAACCCACACTACATGTGCTTTAGGTCTCACCCTGGCAGCTGAGACAAGCCACCCCAACCGACTTGGCAGCACATTAGTGTCAGCCATGGCAAGATAAACCTCCCTAGGTTTATCCAACAGTTGTGAAGATTCTAAACTAATGAGTCTCATAAGTGTCCAATTTAAGGGTATTAAACAAAAACACACCACAATAACACAAATCAATTATGCACTTTATTCATTTATAATAAATGTCAAAAAGTACATCAATCTGATTGGAGCTAAGGGCATACACTRTCTAACAGGTCCCACTTGCACTTAGGTTCAATCGGGTACAAGCTAGAGTCCATTCTTTCCATGTGTTTCTCAAACACTTTCTGTGTGAGTGGCTTAGTCAATGGGTCTACCACATTCTCCGTTGATGCTACCTTCTAAATCTGGACGTCCCCTCTACCCCAACAATCTCCTGTAGTACGTGGAATGGGTGATGTGCTAGACGGAACAACTTATAATTCTTGAATGAACTTTTTCATCCAAATGGCTTCCTTGGCAGC